CCCCCCGGCAGCCCTGGCCACAGCCCGCCCCCGCACACATGCTTCCAGCCCTGGCCACGGCTCCACCCCATACACACGCTGGCAGCCCTCTGCCCCTACAGAGAGTTCTCTCTGGCAGAACGAAGCTCAAGGTACAGGGTGAGCAGGTGATTAGGGCCCCCTCCGCTAGCTCTTGCTTTCTGGCTGCCAGCAGCACCCTTGACCCCACCCTGGATGTCCACCCACCGCACCCTAGTCCCACTCTGAGCACCCACCAGCAGCGACTCAGCCCTCTCCCTGGGGGATCACGGGCAACCCCCTGCCTTCTCCCAGGGAGGCCCACTGGCAGCTCCCCCCAGTCCTTTTCCCGAGGGTCCATCAGAAGCCCCCACACCCTCCCTGGACGTCCACCCACAGGGTCCCAGCTTGATGAAACTGGCACCTCGGCATGGCAGCACATTCAGCCGTGGGTTCGAGCACCCGGCCCTGTGCCCTGACGCTGAAGGCTCGTCTCCCGTCAGGAAGCCCATCTTCAAAGCAGGTGATAGCAATAGCAGGGCGGGCCCTGAGCTCTCGGCCGGGCTGCACAAGCACCCCAGGAATTCTGAGGTCTGTGCCGGCCCTGGGCTCCCGGATGCCACTCCCCAGCACCAGGAGGCTGTGGGGGGCCCTCCGCCGGCCTCTCCCAGACGCACAGCACCAGGACACACAGAGCACACACCCAGGACCTGTCCTTGCAAAGCACACGGATACAGGCACCGCAGCTCCCTGTCACGGTGTGAGCGTAACTGCCCGTTTAACAAGCAGGACCCCAGTGGCTATGAGGGGCCAGGGCCAGCCGCAGTGACCGCAGAGGGCCAGCACAGGCCGGGTCTCCACCTGGATGCCCGGGCCAGGCCTCCCAGACCCCGCTGCTCCTGGTGCGAGAACGTGGGGGAAAGCACGGGCTGTTTTATGTTTCGCTTCCCTTTCCCACCTCCCACGCACTGACAGGGACCTCAGTGACTCTAACGCCTGGGTGCCGTGTGCAGAGCAGCGCTGCCTCGTCTGCAAGGAGGCGGTGAGGCCAGCGTGCAAAGCCGGCAGAGGGCGCGGTTCTGCTGAGCGCCGTGCAGCTGGGCGCGTCTCCTAGGAGGGGGAAAGCTGCAAGGGGTGTGGGGTGAGGCCAGAGCAGGCTGTGACACGGGTTCCAGCCTCAGCTCTGGAGGTGCCCGGGAGGGCAGAACACGAGGACACAGGGTCCCCGACAGAGGGGTGCCGGGCAGAGCGAGGCCCGCCGCGGCTGGTTGGGGTGGGAGGCTCTCTGGGGCAGGGGCGGCCATGCCCTGCTCCGACCTGTGCACCTGCAGGACGTCCAGCAGGCTGCTGTAAGCCGTACCGGCGGCCAAAGGGCTCCCGTAAGGGAGTGAGTCACCACCCCCTCCCTGCTGCCTCTCAATCACAGGGACACCCCAGAGAGGGCAGGGGTACCCCAGAGAGGGTGGGAGTGCGCCAGAGAGGGTGGGAGTGCCCCAGAGACGGCAGGGTTACCCCAGAGAGGGCTGGGTGCCCCAAAGAGGGCTGGGTACCCCAGAGAGGGTGGGAGTGCCCCAGAGAGGGCTGGGTACCCCAGAGAGGGTCAGAGCACCACAGAGAGGGCTGAGTACCCCAGAGAGGGTGGGAGTGCCCCAGAGAGGGCCAGAGCACCACAGAGAGGGCAGGGGTACCCCAGAAAGGATGGGAGTGCCCCAGAGAGGGCTGGGTACCCCAGAGAGGGCCAGAGCACCACAGAGAGAGCAGGGGCACCCTAGAGAAGCTGGGGGCACCCCAGAAAGGGGGCAGAGGCACCCCAGAGAGGGAGTTCCCCAGAGAGAGTGGGGACACCCCAGAGAGGGCGGGGGTGGCCACGACTTGCAGAAATGCCGGGGAAGTTCAAAGGCAGGGAGGGCGGACAGGTAGGGCCGCTCGTGAGGTCCAGGGAGCACCCTGAGGTTCCCCAACCCAGAGGCTGAAAAACAAAGGGTGACAGATGAGGGTGCAGGGCGAAAGGCAAAGGGTAAAGGTGAAGAACGAAGGAGGAGTCAGGGGTCAAGGGCGACCGCCCTCCGCCACCTCCGAGGAGGTCAAGGCAGTAAAGGACCATCTCACGGACATCTACGGGGGCCAGGCAGCGACACAGACCCCAAGCAGCCCCTCGCGGAGCTGGGTTTGCACCGGGCGCCCCGACCTGGGCCGGCTGAGGCTGGGCCGTGGGTAGCTCTATTTGCAGCGTGGTCTGTTACAGAGTTTTCTCTATGGTATACCCACTCAGACCCCGATACTAACCTGTTCTTGCACCTACTCACATTCCTAATCACAGTAATGATCCTGAGAACTGTGGGGCCCGTCTCCCTCTCCCCACCTCTCCTCCTGCCCACTTCTCTCTCGCGTTCTTGCCCCCTCTCTCTTTCACAGAGTAAGTTTTTAAAAATGGAATGAAAGATAAAAACTGAATAAGGGTACCTTGCTCTCTGGGTAGGCTCCTGTCCAACCACGACTCTCCCGGGACACCACTGAAGACCAGTACAGGTCCGGGGACCTTCAACTGGCGGAAACACTGTCAGCTTGGACAACAGGGACCCAGTGGGCAGGCACAAGGACACCCTCGGGTCACACTTCAACCTGCCAGGCCAGCTCGGTACACACATGTGTCCCCCAGCCCCTACCATTGCCATGGAGAAGGCAGGCCCAGAGGTCAGAGCCCGGACCCGGGGCCCGGGCCTGAGCCCAGTCGAGCCCAGGAAGTGCAGCCGAGCACGAAGCATCGGGCTACGCTCCTGGTCCCTTGCCCTCCCCTCTGGGTGGACTGACCACGGCCGCTACCTGCTGCAAGTCCCACAGCTGCAGGTTTGGCAGGGGGCGTCGGGAGCTGGACAGGAACTGTAACTGTCCTCAGGGCCGGACCAGCAAGAGCAGACTCTGTGCAGCCTTGACTTAGACGGCGACACCAGGAGGCCCTGAGCCAGCGCATCTAGGTGCCGTTCCCGGGCGGCGCTGCTCGCTCTGCACCTGCAGCAGGGGCCCCGCAGCCCTGTCACCCCGGCTGAGAGCCCACAGGGCCCCAGCCCACTCCGACCCAGCTGAGCACGGGAAGGTGACAGGGCACGCAGTCTGCCAACAGCAAGGCACAGCGCCATGAAAGGGCCTGAGGGACAAAGCGCACCGAAGGGACACTGGGGCCTAACACGTCGAGTCGGGTTCTAGAGCAGACCACGCCTGCCTCCGCGGGAGAGACGTCAGATTCTCCCCAACGAGGACAGCTGCCCAGAGGAGGTGGGGGGGGGGCTCTGGCAGGGAGCACCCAGGTGGAAGTGGCAGCGGGCAAGCAGGCAGCGGGGTGGGGACAGGAGCCTCGCAGGGGACCACACAGTCATCACAAGGAAGGCATCACGTGTGGGAGGCAGGGCCACTAAGGCATGTCCTCACCGCCCAACCCAGTGGCCGTACAGCTGTGTGATCCACAGCCCTCTCCAGGTGTGGCAGGGAGACTCGGGCAGTCAGGGCCCAAAAAACGCCAAGTGGCTGCTCTCTGAGACAGAGTGACAACAGAGACGAGGCCTCTCAAGTCCTCCCGACAACAGGGAAGAGGGTGAAGCTGGCTGAGGGCCTTCCCTAAAGGCGGAGCAATGCAAATCAAAAGCTGAAAATAAGAAATAAAGAGCGTGGTGGGAGATCTTTCAGAAAACAAGCGCTCACCCTGGGACAGTCCGATCGCGCCAGAGCTAAAGATGGGCGTTTCCTGCAGCAAGAGAGGGGGGCAGAGTTCGGGGACAGCGAGTCTAACGCTGACTCCCAGGGACTGGGCTCTGGTGCCCAAACTGACGAGGCAGCAGAGTGACCCTGACACGGTAAACCTGGGGACACCAGGGCACAAGAGGGCCACAGGCCCGCACCAGAGAGCGTCCTGGCACGTGGGAGATGAAGGAAGGTGGGAAACGACACAGGAAGAGGGAGGGTTTCACTGATTCACATTGTGGAAAGACACACTGCGAGGCGCTTCTTCTGGGAGCAGATCTGGGCACAGTTCCTGACGACAGAGCAAGGGGAACCCAGGCGGACAGCGGCTCTGTGTGCCCACAGCTGGGAGGCACGCACTCTAAGGGCACACGGGAGGGGCGAGCCTAGAGGGACAGGGATGCATGACCTGCAGTGCTCCCGGAACGACTGATACCAGGGCCAGAGAGACAGATGGGCTCTGCCTGTCAGGCCCAACGCCATGTGTGTTGGCAAAGAGAGGGCGGTAAACCCCACGATTCTCCCGAGGGGCATGGCTAGCCAGGCCTGCCAGAGCCCTTCACGGTACCCCCCACAGTCAGCACTGGCTTCGACCTCAGGTCTCAGGGTTGCAACGTCCGCCAACCCCTACACACGACACCCAGCTTCCCTGAGCACGCGTGCCCACGGCAGATCTGCTCTCACGCACCACCGGCAGTGCACAGTGGCCGGGCGCCCGGGCACGCACAGCAGACGCACTCACTCTTGCTGTAGCAGGTGGCCAGCACGCCTTTATCTGCGGGGCTGGCGCTGATGTGCCAGATCTCGCCGGCTTGGTGGAGGAGGACGTTTTTGTTTATGATGTTGTTTTCATCATCGAAATCTATGATGTGGATCTGCAAACACAAGGAGAGAGCGTATCAGGACCCAGGGCTGTCCCGGTACCGTAATTCACACGGTTAGAGGCGCCGCCCACCGTTCTCCTCCGCACTGAGACACGTCTACCTCTCCATCCTCACCGCACTGCTCCCCAAACACACGTGTGCAGCCCCTGCAGAGGGCGGTACAGGCGAGACGCACACGCCCTCCTCTGGTCATGTCTAGCCCTAGCAGGAGAGAGGCCGACGTGCTCCCCGGGGGCCCCTACGGTTAGGCCGCTGCTGGAGTTCGGGCCTCGGTCACCAGGGTCGTCCAAATCAGCCCGGGCCTCTCAGATCTGCCCTGCTGATGATCGAAAGGGAAGGCGGCGGCAGGACACTGCTGCCCGGGCC